TTGGTATATTAACATTATTTCAGTTAATGAAATTACGGTATTTAACTAAATTTAAGTTAAAACCGTAAAACCTAAAATGTTGCTACCGTATTTTTTACGTTAAAATTCCGGCAACCACAGCTGCCAGTTTTTACTGTAAATTTTACGGATTTCTTTTTACAGTGTACATTGTTTTCAAAAGCGATAGAGCATTAAATTTTTAGTGCTACTTATCAGACATTTTATTTCTGAACTGCAGTGAAACGTACAAAACCAACATAATAAAACTTTGCTAGATTCATGTTTATCTATTTTGGATAAAGCTGTTCACAATTTGAGCAACATTCTTTAAACACTTCACTTTGAAAGCATCATGAAACCTTCAAGAAGAAACTTGTTATCATTTCACAGAAATGTTGCATATGCACATTTTCAAGTCAGTAAGGAAGTCATTTTAAATGAAATATGAACTTACTTTAAAATATATTCTCTGAAAACAATTCTAAATCTCTCATACAGCTTTACTGCTCAAGTAAATTAATCTTTTTTTTTTTAGACATTTTTACAACAATATCCAACAAGAATATTGAACAAAATATTTGTCTGCAATTTGATTAATATATATACAAGTATACATGAGTTTTGAGGAAAAATGGCTTCACAAACCTTTTAGACCAAGTAAGTACTTGAGCCAAGAGGTCAAGCGGTGACATTTGGATCCTCTATTAGTTACAATTCTCTCCGTTCTACAAATCCACAGATCAGAATTCATAGATCAGTGTTTTGCTCTTTGTTCTCATTGAAGTAAACAAAACGCAACGTGTTTAAAGTGTGACTTCATTGTAAATATCACAATTATAGCAAATAAAGAAGGAAAAAAGGAACATTCACAATGGCTGTTCATGCATGACAAGACATAAGCAAACTTAATAGGTAGTACACCATGTTTGATAGTATGTTCACAAAGTTTCCTCCTATGTAAAGGAGTGTGTTAACTTTGTAATCTCACTGTGTCACCACCATGAGCCACGCAGGTTCATCGTGGGGTGTAATTAGCTTCTATTGATTTGAGGGCACATACAACGAGTGATGAAAACCAACTCTGACAACTCCAATTCTGTGCCTGTCGCTTAACGATTGCAGGCAATGACAAACCTAATGTGAATAACCTCTGATTTACTGTTGACATTGTGGCTGCATTAAAACAGCGATTTGGATTTTAGTCTTTTCATTCCCAAGACAAGTGCGAATTAACTTTGCACGTCATCCAAAACATCCACTGCTACTTGCATTTGCTTTGTCAAGTTGTCTACTGGCAATGCAGTTTCCCAAGCCATGCTTCTCTTGGCACGCAGTGTTGATAGAGATAAAGAAGCTACTAAAATACGCCCTTGAAGTAACTCAGCATCTTGGCTAGCTCCATGTATATGCATATTCAGTTAGAAATACATTGATCTAACACTCTTAATAGCTTTTCCCTGTCTTCACACAATTCATCATGCTCACTCTAAACAGCAGCAGCCTCTTTAACCTGTAAAGATTTTATGTTCATATGTTGTCAGTTTGATGTAAAATTATAGTGGTTGGCAAGAGCAAACATTCAAGTGCTTCAATAAAGGCAATTAAAAGTTGGCAATATGTGGTATAATATGATAATACACAAAAAGGGAGAATTTTTATAACAAATATATGCATTTATATTTACATATGCATTTATATTTACTAATAGAAAAAAAAAATACTGTGTTAAAATCTCACCAGAAGATTTTAATTTGACTCATACAGCTCTTTTACAGTTCAAAACACACGTTACCTTCTCATTTTAATGGTTAATTTAGTAAAAAACAGTTGTCTTTTAATCCATTGACTAAATGTTTTTACTGTCATGGCCTAAAAATTGAACATATTTGAACATATGAGCATTTAATAGAGGGTTGTGTTTCACACAAAATAGAAACATAGTTGAAGTGGATGGTGTTCATGGCAGTGTTCTTGGTCAGTTTCCCAATTATTACTCATAGCAGAGGTGCTTTTGTGAAATGAACTGCTTTTATGAGAGCTGTCCAATTCTGTCAACAGGATACATGGAATTCCGAGGTTACTCACTGTTGCTTTGGCAAAGTCACAAGTATTTTTTTTTTTTTTTTTTTTTTGTGCACAGATACATTTTTTTGGCAAATGTGTTTCCATTTTAGTTTATGCACATTTCTTTTTATCAGATAAAGAAAAAAAAAATATAATAATATCCACCACAACGGAGCACATATCCCAGAATTTGCAATCAATGGATTATTTTTTAGATGTATGTAGGAAGTAAGGATACGATTATTATAACATTTTCCGCCTTTTTTTGCAATGAGGAAAATTACTCATCAGACTTTTATCACTCTTCAAAATTGTGTCATTCACTATAGAAGGATATATCCAGCTATCATGACCATACAGTACCTCAGTGTAGCAATGTTCCCACTAAAGGCCAATTCACACCGCACAGACAAACGCCAACAAACACCAACAAATAAGTTGGCTGTTAAATTTAGAATTTTATTAAAAATAAGTGTCATGTTCACATTGCCCCAACAAACACCAACAAACTTCGAGTCACAGAGAGTCAAGTAACAGCGTGTCTACACCGGACGCGACAATTGTCGCATCACGCCACATCCAGTGTAGACAGTGTCACTTAATATAATCAATAGAACCTCTATTGTATTTTGTCGCGTCCGGTGTAGATGGTGTAAGTCTGATTGGGGACGAAACTGATGATCCTGTAACCACAATCAAAATTTGACTGTTATTAATGTCTTTGCGTGTCATTCTTCGCCTGAAAAGACGGCGAATAAAACGAAAGAGACCATGGGTGAAGCATGTTTTAAGTGAAATATGCATGGCATTGTCATGGCAATGGTTCGTGGCCACGTCAGATTACGTCAGAGTTTGTTGTAGTTTGTTGGAAAACCATTTCACACTGCTCAGACATTCCACGACCCAACAAACGCCGATTAAGCATGTTCAGTCGGGTGAAAACAAAAGTCCAACCAACACCAACAGACGCCAACAGGGGTAACACACTGATCCAATAGACTAGTTTGTTGGCGTTTGTCTGTGCAGTGCAAATTTGCCTTAAGAGGTGCTTTGTAAGGTTCGGACATGATATATTGCCTAGCAATTCTGGTTTTATCAGACAACAGAATCCTCAAGAATCCAACAGAAAAGCTTGTTAGGTGTCTAACATGGCTTCAGGCAAACATTCCACAACTGGGATGTGAAATGTTTCTTCTTTCCACCCAGCCAGATTTATGAGGTGGGCATGCTGTTGTTATCTCATACATTGTCATATCATAAAACTTGACAGAAAGAAAACTCTAAGTCAGTTGTTATAGGGTGTTATGACCTCTCTTATTAGAAATGGACTGACAGTTCTGGGCAGATTTGTCCCAGATTTCCCCACATTTTAGATTTTAAACTTCGGCCCATAACTCATCCCATCCTGTTTGTGTCACTGTGTCTGTGGGATTTTTCTGCCCATCACCCAGCATCACTGCAGGACCTCACTGACGCTCTTGTGTCTGATTTGGATCAAATCCCTGCAGCCATGTTCCAACATTTAGTGGAAAGTCTTCCTGGAAGAGTGGAAGGTGGAAGCTGTTGTGGCAGCAAAGGGAGGACAAAAACTAAAATTAAATGTGCGACAAATACTGTAAATGGTGTGGCATTCAGGTATCCACATACTTTTGGCCATGATCTTTGTCATTCCTGCATGGTAGCACATTGTTATTTTCTGCAGTAGATGCTCACAAGGATGTAGAGAAAAACTAGTAGCACTTTATTTTACAGTCCTATTTACACATATGCGTACTATGTACAGTACTTGTTATAGTAATTACAATAACTGGGTAATACCTAAGTAGTAACCCTGAACCTACCCTTAAACCTAACCATAACCCATGTTACCTTACATTATTCAGCACTTTCTTAGGTAAGTACACTCTAAGTAGAAGTAAGTACACGCACTGTAAAATAAAGTGCATCTGGAAAACCTCAGGGTTTGCCAAAGTGCAACATATCATCATGCAGCCAAGAAAGCACACTTTGACATGGGCATCTGTTGACCAATGAAAATTTCAGACATAATGGCCAGTTGTCCTTTCAGATATCCAATTTCTCCTTGATTTCAAACTGACCTGGCACTTTCCACACCTTAAGATGCATCGTATGCATTCACAAAAATGCCCTTTCAGAGCCTTCCCTATAGAGCATACCATTTGGGGGAGATGTTTTGCTACACCTTGCTTGATCTTCCCTTAAAATTAAAGAGTTCCTTATCTATATAATACTGTGAGATTTATGTGCTGTAGGTGCAGCTTATTACTCAGTGTATTACAATGTAATTACTATGTTATTACTACAACAGTTCATAACATCTTGGCAACAGAGCAAATGTATCATCATAATTTTTGTGAAACATACGTGATCAGTTAAGTTTGATCATTAATGCATCAAACATTTATTCATTTCAAATCTATTGTATTCACCTTAATATATTTTATAAAACAATTATAAATATATAAGTCATAAATTATGGGACTTAACTGATAAAGTCATGCCTTTGGGGTCATTTTTGGGAGACTTCATGCCGTCCGTATTTTAGGCACCGTGCCTGCTTCATTTTTAAATCCTAACAAGCTCTTTCAATGCTAGAACGGAGCACTCTTCTAAGGGGATATCCCATGGCAACCAAACTGGCACAAGAATCGTTGCACACAAATTCACACACTGACACACAACTAATACACACACGCACAAAATACCAGAACACTGCAATCGACTCTTGTTTGGTAGCCTCGGGGTCTCAGTGTGGTAAAGCGGTAATCCTATCAAACAACAGGTCGAAGTTTATTATCTGCTGCTCAATACCAGCCACAGGAATACCAGGGCATAGTGGGCCCCTCCAGATAGAATGAGAGAGAGAAAAAGGGAAACTTTTTGCCCTAGTTGGGACATCGGGTCAGTTTCTTTTGGTGCTGTTGTGAATGAAGGCACTGGGTAGTTGGCACAGTTCAACAGTTAAGATCTGTTAAGTCACTTGTGGATACGTTTGAGTTCACCTCTAGCTGGTGACATCTCGACTCACCTTACTACAGAATAAAGACATCTCAGAAGTAAGTTTTTTTTTTTTTTTTTCGTTCTCTAAAAGTCTGGTAGTTACCATAAAAAATTAATGAGTTGGGAACTCGACTGTCTATTAATTCAAACCTTATGCAATAAGTCTGTATTCAATTTCCTCTTAAGCTCGTAGCCATTTAAAAGCATTTAAAGGATGCAAAGGAAATGCTTGCGATTTTTCAAATACTCTGAGAGCCTGAAGCAAACTTGACTCACATTGAATTGCTTTCTTTGAATTGCTGTGGTTTAATGGTACTGTTTCTAAATGTATAATGGCTGTTCGTTAAACGAAAACAATGAGGCATCTGAGAGTGGTTTTGTTATGCATTAGCATGCAGGTTGGAGACTTTCAAAGCAGTTAGTCACAAATAAAGTTGATGAATTCATCACATTAGTAGGACATGGATAAGAATTAGTGTCTCCATTAAGTCAGTCTGATAATCGGCACGTCTGTCAGGAAAGTTAATGATTCTCATGAACTGCACTTTGTCTGTAGAAAGCAGGTGGTTTAATTGGCTTTAAAGAGAAATTACATGGGCGAGTAGAGCAAGGGCACTTTACACAGATGCTATAGGTAAAATACAAAAACAATAGGTAGTTTTGGTAACGCTTTAGTTTAGTGACCAGTTCTTACTATTAAGTAGTAGCATGCACTGAGTCAAAAGTCATAGTTAATAGTTAGTTTAGTAGTGAGAATTGATTCCCAAACTAAAATGTGACTGCAGTTTTTAGTATATGTATTACAAAGCATAGGTTGCCAGAAAACTATTAATCAATTACAATTAGGCTATCTCATATTCTTACACATTAACTGTAATTGTGTGATAGCTATTGTGTAATAGTTGTTGTATAGCTATGTTATAGCACCTTATTTCATTAGAAAAATTATACTATTTCTGTACTATAACATACAATACTAGACTACATTACTACATAGTTCTGACCAATTGTGTTTCTGCAGAAAAATAATGTTTAGCTTGGATTGATTTCACAGTAAAATTCTGAATGCATCATGTATTTATTTTTATTTTTTAAAGCCCATCTGAAGTATTGTGTTCACCCAAACCTTTCAAATCAGTAGCCCTGCACTCGACAGCTGAACAATACAGTACTGGACTGTGGTGGATTATTATCTGACTGTGGTTTGACGGTTGTTCCTGTGATGGGGAAGACTGGCCAGAGCACGGTGGACCTCAACTCACCCTCAGACGTGAGGCAGGCGGTCCCGTTTGAGGACCTGGATCACAACAGTGTTCCTGTAGAAGAGGAGAAGGAGAATAAAGTACCAGATAGAGGATCTTGGAAGGGGAAATTTGACTTTCTACTGTCCTGCGTTGGATACGCCATTGGGCTGGGAAATGTGTGGAGATTCCCTTATCTGTGTGGAAAGAATGGTGGAGGTGAGAGAAGACAGACAAAGCCATTACTGTTAGGCTGCTGAGAAGATGCCTGGTTGGATCAATATGCTTCCCATGTTTTTTTCATGAAGGACATTTTCCTGACAACATTTCTGCAATCAATCAATCAATCAATCAACCAACCAATCAACCAAACAACCAACCAACCAACCAACCAATCAATCAATCAATCAATCAGGTTTTTTAAATAGGTTTAGGGCTGTAGTTGGGGTTTAAACACCATTCTTGTCTGCCTTTGATTTTAGGTATAGTTAATCGTTAGTTTAGGTGTTGGATAGAATTAGGACGAATATTGTTCCAGATCCAAGAAAAATATGTTGATAGAGGAACATGTCCTTCTTGGTAAAATAGGCTGATGCCATGATCCAGAAACAGTTTGAGTGCGAATACCAGGAACTAAATGGACATGTGGAATTTACATTGTAGGCTTCTCTGCTGAAAGACCAGAGGTGCGTTTTCCAAAAGTAGTGTTGACCAACTATGGTTCTCTCATAATTCTGAACAAGTTCTGTCATTTGCAAAATAGTTCAATGATTCAGTGTTTTCCAAATTCAAGGTTCCAAGGAATATTGCGCATTTGCTTTAGTACCCCCCTGAGTATGATATGAGAGGGAAGCTGCCATTGAATCAAACATATAAAAATGAAACAAACAATGGAGAACAAGATCTGTAATTGTAGTAGTTGTAGTCATATTTGTTATTTACAGCAATAATCTGACATTAATTGAGTCTCAATCTGATTAATTAGCTGAATTGTCAGTGACTCTTATAAAACAGTTTATTTTTTCTTTTCAGTTTAAACTTTAGAAATATCCCAAATTAATCCAAGATTAATGTTTAAAGGCAAACATGTTGAAGATTAGCAGACAGGCTCTCGATTCATTAAGTGATAAGCTGTTTCCTCTCAAAAGCAGTCTGCTTAAAGTCAGACTTCCATGGGGGAAAAAAAACATAGTCTCCCCCCCAGTGTACCACAGCATGGCACGCTTTTTTTCTAACCTTGGAGACTCCTATTAAAGTGGCTCTGATGAGACTGTTCACATGTTTGATTCAAACTGCATAGAAGTCTGAAATCTAAAAACCTTAAGTACATTTTGTATTACATTGTTTTTAGGAGCTTTTCTCATCCCATACTTCACTACTCTGGTCTTTGCTGGTATCCCACTGTTTCTGCTGGAGACGGCATTAGGACAGTACACGTCAGTGGGGGGGCTGGGAGTATGGAAATTAATACCCATGATGAAAGGTAAGAAATATTCACATACACACTAGCTATTTGGGGACTTCTTAATGAGTACTACTGCCTCGCTGTAAGTTTTGCAACAGCATGAAATGGAATTATAGTCAATTTGTTTGTTTGAGCAGACTGTGTCATATACGTATAATAATAACAGCAAAAAATAACAGCATTGGTTGAAGTGTGTTCAACCAATGGCAGATAGGGGTTTGTGTTTGAAACTTTTGTAATCGTTATTTTTGCAGTTCTGCTTGGTGACTAACAGCACAGAAATGACACACTTCATCTTTAAACACAACTAAATGTAAATCAGTCATGACCACTCTCATACAGATTAGCATTTTAACAGATATGACAATGGTAATGCATTTGGTCTTTGTAGTCTAGATCACATACAGACTTGCTACTGCCAGTGATACACATACATGCATGACTAGGCATGCATAAATCCCATAGCGTATCTAGCCCTCTATGGGATATCGTCATTTATAAATGATGCTCGGAAATTTGCATTTAAATTACAATATTAATGTTCAACCAACAAAATTAGATTTTAGTGATGTCAAATGACATCCCCTTCAACCAGTAAAATTAAAATTTATTAGCCATGTGCTTCACATTTTTGGTAACTAAGTAGAAAGGAGACATTAGCACATGTTAGGTCACATGCTCTCAAGGCTGCACAGTGAGCTCATTTTAGACTAGAAAATACATATAAATTCAAGTTATAAAAAATATAATTGTACATCCAAATGTGTTTTCTA